AAAAAAAAAAAAGTCCAACCCCATCTGAAATGGACTCACAGGTAAGTCCCAGGAAGGCCCTGGGACTTGTCCATAGCTGCCCCTCCTCCCAGCTCCTGGCTTCCTCAGAGGGTCTGTTTCTTTATGTGGGGCCTCTGAACGTCTAAAGTGTGGTATGTGGTGGGGAAGGGAAAGAGGAAAAGGAGGTGTCTGAACCAAGACGACCCCAGGGGGCAAGTTCCTTCTCTTTCCTGGCTACTCCATCCCTCCCTCACATCCCTCCCTCACATTACCTAGGAAGCTCCCAGTCCTGGGATGTCTGCCTCCCCCAGCACAAGCTTCCTAATACCCTGAATTGTGATGGGGCTTCCCAGTGGGTCTCCCTGCACTTGTATGTGGTTCCTCTTAGAGGTTATTTTAGATACCTACATTTTGTCTCATGGGCCATATTCAAAAGCCATTGAGTGGACAGCGTAGATAAGTACTGACCAGTTGTCCTGAAATTCAAGCTCAAGACCCAGTTCCAGGACAGACAAGGTGGCTCACACCTGTAATCCTAGCACACTGGGAAGCCGAGGCAGATAGTTTGACTGAGTTCAGGAGTTTGAGAACTCCCTCAGCAAGAGTGAAACCCTATCTCCAAAAAAACTACTTGGGAGTCTGAGGCAAGAGGATCTCTTGAGCCCGAGTTTGAGGTTACTGTAAGCTATGACAGCAGAGCACTCTACCCAGAGTGACAGAGTGAGACTGTCTCAAAAAAAAAAGACCCAGTTCCAGGTAGAGACTATCCAGGGCCACACATTGAGTTTCATATCAGAAATAGATTCTTTGTGTGTCAGAAAAGAATTATCAAAGCTTTTTGCTAGGGGTTTGGGGAAGCTGCAGGGATGATTCCTTTATATTTGAGACAAAACAGATCACATTGCAAAGGTAGCAGAGCTATTTCTAAAATGAAGAGCTGAGAGGAGCTTGGACTAAGGGAGTAGCAGGGCCACCCTGTCACATGCTCCGACAGTGACTTGGGCTCCTTTGGTTGTAGAACAAGGAGAGGAAAGGGCTGCAAAAGAAGGGGCACGTGGCATCTGATATGCAGGAACAGGCCCAGCTGAGTTCCCCAGTGAGCCATCCAGGCCATCCCCCCTGCTCCTGGTCCTTGGCATGGGCCTCCTCCAGAGCACTGCTGGGGGAGTGGGCACCAGGAGGGGCTCTGCCTAGAGAAGCCCCCTGCAGCTCAGGGAGGAGAGCCCCACCCACTTCTGGTATTATTTGATTTACAAATTAAACTACCAGACATCCTGTTACTTTCGAGTTCCAGATAAACCAGTGTGTCTCTGTGCTGTATCGAGGTGCCAAACAGTGGCCCAGGGAGACAATTCCATGTTCTGTGGACATTCTAGAGACTGAGAAGGGCCAGGGAGGCTGAACCTGAGAAGGGCCAGGGGGTAGAGGGAGGTCTGCCAGCGTCTCCCTGCTGCACACCCTGCCCGGCACCTTCCTAGGCTGCGTGACAAGTAAACAAGTCCCCTGAGCCACAGGCGCCAGGGAGCTGCAGGTACTGGCCCAGGATGGGTGCTTTTCTTGGCTTTATGGCCTAGCCCAGGAAAGAGCATCCTTAAGCTCCAGAACAGACGTGACTGAACTCTCTCTCCTCCCCAGCAGCCAATGGCGCCAGGCCTGGAGAGTGGATGCCAGCAGGACGTCAAGAAGAGCCTTACCTGCCCCATTCAGGGGCCCCCAGCCAGCCAAGGGAGATGCCCCAGGACCCAGGCAGTGGAGAGGCCACCAGGTAGGGGTGGGATGTCACAAGGCCTTGTCCTCTGACTCCACCAGTGGGCTCTGGAGATGGGTCTCCATGGCCAATGCAGAGTACCCAGGAGACCTGGCAGGGCTTCTCTGAGGCCTGGGGCCTGAGATGCAATGTCAAGATAGCTAAACCTGCAGCCACCACACCTGGTAACCCAAGGTGAGGGGACCTGCTGCCTGAGAGTCATCAGTGCTCAAAATGGAAGGAGCACTCATGAACATGCCCAGCGTACTAGTTTTAAGAATAGCCACAGGCCAAGTGTAGTGGCTCAGCATATAATCCTAGCATTTGGGGAGGCTGGGCGGGAGGATTACTTAAGGCCAGGAATAAGACCTCATCCTCTACAAACAAACAAAAATTAGCTAGGAGTAGTGGTGCCTATAGTCTCAGATACTCAGGAAGCTGTGGCAGGAGGATCACTTGAGCCCGGGAGTTGGAGATTGCAATGAACTGTGATGATGCCACTGCATTTTAGCCCTACCTCAGTAAAAAGCTAGGTGAACAAGTCCCAGGGAAGTGTGAGGGTGTGGTAAGGTAACGTGGGGGCAGTGTCCTGTCTCAGCTATTTATTTGCATTTGGAGTAGGTGGGCTGGAGGGCAGAAAGAGAGAGAAGGAAGTTAGTATATGGTCGGGCTGAGGTCAGCTTCCTAAAACAACGTGGGCCCCCAAGGAGATAAACGAGGTTTTCTCTCTTCCTTTATATGACATGAAACAGACTGTGTAGCAGCCGTATAGCCTCTGGCTAGGAGTGACAGTTATAAGAAACACCTGTATAGCTCAATAATGGAACACCTTGGTGAGGAGGGCATGGAGAGGCATTTAGTTCTAAGAAGCAAGAGAGAGCTCGCGAGATGAGAGCATTGGTGAATTGGCAGTCTCTACACCTGTGGTGTTGAGAGGCACGAGATCAGCCTTATATTAGGCTGGAGGAGAAGGCAGTCAGGAAGCATGTGCATTCTATCACAGACACGCTGACTCTGACTCTGTCTCCTCTTCTGCCTGTGGAACACCAGCACGGCATGTTTCTGCTGAAGATCACTAAACTCTGCTAAAGACTAAGATCTATCTTTCTAGGAAGACTGCTTTACTCTCTCTAAGACACACACTCTCTCCCTCTCTCCAGCTAAAGTAGATAGCCCTCAGGCACCTAAGAGAAACTGTTCCTGACCAAGGTAGCTTAGTGGTCCACGTCCGGAATCTACCTAAGCCGGGCCCGAGACTTGGCCAGTCCTGGGGCCCTGACAAGACTGGCCCAATGGGTTACAAGGAGATTTTTTTTAAACCTTTTTGAGACAGATTCTTACTCTCTCACCTAGGCTAGAGTGCCATGGCATCAGCCTACCTCACTGCAACCTCCAACTCCTGGGCTCAAGCAATCCTCCTGCCTCAGCCTCCTGGAGTAGCTGGGACTATAGGCCTGAGCTACCACACCCACTTGTTTTTCTCTTTTAAGTACAAATGGGGTCTTGCTCTTGTTCCAGCTTGTCTTGAACTCCTAAGATCAAGCAATCCTCTGCCTAGGCCTCCCAAAGTGTTAGGATAACAGAAATGAGCCACTGCACCTGCCCAGACTTTTGGAATCTAGAAAAGACTTTTCCAATTTCACTTTTTTTTTTAGACAGAGTCTCACTCTTTTGCCCTCGGTAGAGTGCCATGGCCTCATAGCTCACAGCAACCTCACTCATGGGCTCAAGCAATTCTCTTGCCTCAGCCTCCCAAGTAGCTGGGACTCCCACAACTCCAAGCTATTTTAGAGATGGGGTCTCACTCTGTCTCAGGCTGTTCTTGAACCTGTGAGCTCAGGTAATCCATCCACCTCGGCCTCCCAGAGTGCTAGGATGAAAGGCATGAATCACCTTACCCAGCCCCACCAGCCTCTTCTTTTGGATCTGAGGACTCCTGCACAGGGAGAAGGGCCTGGGTCTCGGACCCAGCCTGTCCCTGGCTTTTAGGCACACCAGCTGGTCCTATCCACTTCCTCTTGGCCACGTAGTGCCCTGCAAGCTGAGTATTATCACAGTGGAAAGGCCAACCTCTTGCACTTAAATCTGGGGCTAGAGGCATGTTTACTTTAGTTCTAGAGGCCATGGGCGAACAGGCTGGAAGAGCCAGCAGAGCCTGTACCTGGGGAGAAAAATGCAAGAGGGGGGGTTCCTGGAGGTGTTGAACCCCACCACTTTTAGCATTCTGCAGAGTCCAGCATTTTCCTTGGGGTGGAGAGTCAGAGCTGCAGAAGGACTTGAGGACCTGGGTTAGAGAGGGGCAGGTGTCCAGTCTGTCCTGAAGGGACCAGGTGGAAGGAGGCAGGATGAGCCAGGCTGGGGTGTGTAGGCAGCCTGGGGAACTGAGCATCTAGGGGCCTCCAGCCCAATTGCTGACTATCCTGGTGATCCAATGATCCACCAATCCACCTCCCCGATCTGGGCTTCCTCCTCTCTCAGTGGCTGAAGGGGAGCTAGTCTGCCAGGCCAGGGGTTTTCTGGCTCTCAGTACCCACCTGATATGACAGGTCAAAAACAGGAGTCCCCAGCTGGGTGTGGGTAATCCTAGCACTCTGGGAGGCCTAGGCAGGTGCATTGCCTGAGCTCACAGGTTTGAGACCAACCTGAGGAAGAGGGAGCACCATCTCTAAAAATAGCTGGGCATTGTGGTGGGCACCTGTAGTCCCAGCTACTTGGGAGGCTAAAATAAGAGAATCACTTGAGCCCAAGAGTTTGAGGTTGCTGTGAGCTGTGATGCTACAACACTCTACCAAGGGCGACAAAAGTGAGACTCT